TTAATAGTGCTCTTGACAGAGCTCATCAACGGACATAACATCTCCCCCCGACACTTCGATGAGGTACAAGGTGGAAGAGAAGAAGAAGAGAAAGCCAGCGAGAGACATTTCAAAAAGTGTCGGAGAGGTGGGTAGGCGCTTTGCTGGGAGAAAAAAAAATCGTCACATTCAATCAGCATTCCGGAAGGGGGGAGTTTTAGGTTGTACTTGTGACTAGATTATGTGCGCCATATAAAATGGCTTAGCATTGCACGCTACTAACAGCACTGAAACGGACTCCTGCAGTGTTGATGCGATCAAAGGAGACATACCCAAATACTGTCCCGACCGGCGACCAGCCAATATGTGGAGCGAGGCTAAACTAGATGGCTGGGACTCACAAGCAGCAGCTACCGCATCTCCTGCAGCTTCCCTAATTTTGTTTGCTCGTGAGTCCCAGTCATCTAGTTTAGCCCCACAATGCGCGTAGCGGCGTTTGAGATACTCTCGGCGGTGGCGGTAGGCGCTGGAAGTCCGTTATTCACATCTGACTGAGGCCCACTTAGGGTATATTTATTTTCTGCCTCGATAATTTGGGACTGTTATTCGGAGGATAGCCAGAGAATCTGCTATGTTATAATTCCACTGGCTATTTCTCTGTGGGTGTATCTGCATTGTCCTTATGGCATTTTATTCTTATTGGTACTTTGTTTACTTCACTTCATCAGTTCTCTGTCACACTCTCTCTCTCTCTTTCTCTCTCACCCCCCCCCCCCCTTTTTTTTTCTTGCATTCCCTCTCCGCAATGCTTTAGTTCCCAGGACTTGGTGCTATCTAAAAAGAAAAACGAATACGTTAAAGGCGGACTGTCGCCTTTTTACCACCTGCTTCCTCTTTGTTTAGCCGACAGCTTGGGCTACTTTCCCCGTTGCTGTTGCTATGCTGAGGTCGTTAAGGTCACTCGCCTCAGTGACCAGGTAACTTATCATCCGTTCTTGTCATTATCTACATACCAGTGAGTGTGTATGTGAGTCAGCTAGGAGGGCAATGTGTGCGTGTGTTAGGGGTAAGGGCAATCAAAGAGTAGAAACAAAAACCATGAGTTGTCTGTTTAAACACACAAGCGCTTCTTGTTTTAATTGACCAGACATTTTAAGTCATTCCCCACCGCGCGCGAGCGCGCGCGCGCACACACACACTTCCTTTTCTCTTGATACCCTTCGATAAGATTCTCGAATAAATTTTACCTTCTGCATTTTTGTCTTGGAAAGCGTGAGTAATACCAAGACTTCAAGTCATTGATACAAACTTCTTGTGTGGCTTCACGTTGACGCCTCGTTATGTTGTGGTGAATTTACGCCAATATTAGTTTATGAAATAGCAGCCGTCTTGCTCTTCATTAATCGTTTACGTGTGTTATGTGATGCATCGTGTTCATTCTGTATCTGGCGGTTAGCATGGGGGGGGGGGTTATATTCTAACCGGTGAGCAAATCGGGTTAGAACTATATTGTGAGAAAACATTATTAATGAGTTTTCTAATTTAAAAAAAAAAAAAAAACGGACTTTCTGGGGGTTTCCTTACCAAATCTTGAAGCCGACGAAATGTCGTATAAAATTAAAGTACCGAAAAGGAAAGGAGGCTGGACTAGTTCACATATGTTCATTGAATGGCAGTTAATGTCCACAACCAATAATACAATAAGTATTCATGCAACTGGTGGCCGACTTTCGCGCTGTGGTGATCTCTAGCTTCCATTCTAACACGACTTCCCGTGCCTGTATTCAGGTCTTCCTCGCCCGGATGGCAACAGTAAAGTGCCTGCACACTTGCAGTTATATTCCACATCCTCTCCCCCACTTTTTTTTTCTTCTCTCCACCCATTCTACACACTTGCAGAGCGGTCTAACCTGTCCCGTCTGTGACGATCGTTCTGTCGGGTTTCCTGTGTCAAATAACTAACTAGATGATGAAGCGAACGAAATCTAATGTCCATTACGTTTGCCCAACACGGCATTGATATAACGCAGAACGTGTCAGTGTGCGGTTGAAAATTCGGTGAGACATTATTATTGAAAACAGTTATCCACCATGTTAAAGATAAACAGTAGCAGCTGTTGCGGAAATGAGCAGCCGATACGCTATGTCCGTTTGCCCAATGAGATGCCAGATGGAGTACTATCAGTTGAATTGCTCTCGGTAAGGTGTTTTATGGCGATGTCCATAGCTCACACACTCTTTAGTTTCTTCTTTCACGAACCCGATTTATGTGACTGTTTTCTGTTAAATATGCCTGTCTCTCTTGTCCGATGTTCTTGCCTCTTTGAACGTGTGTGTTTCTTTATGTGCTTATTTTTATATCTCTGAGCGCGACTACTTCTTAATGTTTCTTTTTATGAAATATTTATGTATTTATCTTCCTCTCTTTAGGTGGTTTTTTTTTTTTTTGCGGTAGATAATTTTCTTCAGATATAGATATAGACACATCAGCTGATCATCTCTGTGCATACTATCTTATAATAACTATATATATATATAGTATGTATATACATATATATATGTATGTATGTATGTATGTATGTATGTATGTATGTATGTATGTATGTATGTATGTATGTATGTATGTATGTATGTATGTATGTATGTATGTATGTATGTATGTATGTATGTGTGTGTGTGTGTATATTTGTATATATATAATATATATATATATTATGTGTGTGTGTATATATATATATATAAATATAAATATATATATATATATATATACAAATCGTGTTCATAAATATACTTACATGCATGCTTTCTACATTTAGATGGTTTTTACAAATATTTTTTGGTAGATAACTTAGTTCAGATGTAGATATGGACACATCGGCCGATTTTGTCTATGTCAGTGTTACAAACTAATGCATACTGTCTTCACATAAATATAAAAACAGCGTGCTTTCTTATATAGCCGTGAAAAACAACACACCATTTCTTCGCGTAACTATGAAAACAACACGCTTCTATAAATCTTCATGTAACTTTCGAAACAGTATTCATTCTTCGCAAGGCTACGAAAGCAACATATTTTCTTCAAATGACTATGAAAGCAAATGCAACTACCATCAGTTATTAAATAATATCTTGGCATATTTTTGTTTACACCTTTCACTTAAAAAGAACAGAAGTAGATGTTGAAAATGGCAACAGTATTCCCATGGCAAATACTATCCTTAGAGCTTTCACACATTCTCAAGGGGATTGAGAAAGATCGGAAGTAGATGTTGAAAATGACAACAGTATTCCCATGGCAAATACTATCCTTAAAGCTTTCACACATTCTCAAGGGGACTGCGTCTTGTTTAATTGCCTAATATTGTAATAATATGCTGGAAGATAAATAATGTACGTGTAAGCAGAAAATGAGAACTATAAATTGGGGGGATGTGGGGGGGGGGGGGGGGGGGCGTCTTGTATCCTTTTTATTTGTGGAGGGGGTGATTTGGGGCACCACGCTCTCATGTTCCAGTACCGCTTTGGTCTATGTCATGATATAATAAGCTGGGTGTCCCGGTTGCCTTTCCTTCTGAAATAATTACCAAAACAATTATAGTACCATTTTTTAAAGACTAGATCGTCTGGCCTCAGAATCAAACTGGTCTGAGAAAATGGGGGGGGGGGGGGGGGGGGTAAATCATGCCACTGTTAGGGTTTGAACTGGGACCACTCCCTTTTTAACCACTGTGCACCCATGTTAGATAGGTGTGTGTTTTGTTGTTGTAATTGTTGCCATATCCTCTGTCACTTGTGAGAACACGAGCGACCAGCTGTTTTGTTTAGGTACTATAACACTATGTTTGATAAGTACAGGATATTTTACTTCTATTTCATATATAGTTTTGTACATTCCATGACAGGCACAGTTGCTTGCAGTTTGTTGCTCACACACTTTCCCTCCCCTCCTTTATAACCCCCTCCAACCTATATCGGTAACCCATGTCACTTACTCAGTCCCTCTCATACATCCTTATTCAAACACCTCTCCATAGCTCAGTCGCTCACACACATCTTCCATGGATTCACACATTCTCTACCCTACACACTCCTTCCCTCTTCACCCACTCTTCTCCTCCCTAACTAACACACACAAATGCACACATACATGCACACACATTCACTCAGTCTGCGTGCTCTTAGTGCCTCAAAGTTTGCAGGAGATGCCCAATTGCAACAATAACCACTTTTTTTTTAAAATTTAAACAGCATACATACATACTTCCAAGGAGCAAAATAAAAATTTGTTATTGGGATATAAACCTAATTTGTCAGGTCGAAACCAATTCTGTATCTGTTGGGGAAGATGACAGAGAAGATGACATCTGGGACTGGGAAGATGACAGAGAAGATGACATCTGGGACTGGGAAGATGACAGAGAAAATGACATCTGGGACTCTAACTGTGATATGAATGTCAGACCACTTCACCACAGAAATATTTAACTGCAGTCTGTTGCTTTTCTTTGTCATCTTGAATATTCACTATAGTCTCTCTCTGTCTCTCACCCTTCTCTCCTTCCCTAAGAGAGAGTCTCTCTCTCTCTCTCTCTCTCTCTCTCTCTCTCTCTCTCTCTCTCTCTCTCTCTCTCTCTCTCTCTCTCTCTCTCTCTCTCTCTCTCTCTCTCTCTATATATATATATATATATATATGTATGTGTGTGTGTGTGTGTGTGTGTGTGTGTGTGTGTGTGTATATATATATATATATATATATATATATATATATATATATATATATATATATATATATATATATATATATAGTGCTTATAATCTGTACTAATACCGTAATTTATATATATAATTTTTTATTCCTTAGAAAGAAAGATATGCACATGAGATATAATTTTACACCTTTTCTCCGTCTCTCAAAGTACCGCTCACCCTACTCTCCTCAACATCTGCTCGTTGCGTTGTCTATAAAGTTTGTGAATTACTCCCTTAGATGCTAACTGATTTCTGTTTCCATTCCACAGGACCATGATCTCCAGCAAAAGATTGACCATGAAATTAAAATGCGTGAAGGGACCGCCCGCTTACTTGTGGCCAGCAAACATCCGGCCCAGGTTCTGGAAGCTGCCAAAAACCTTCTGTCTTCCAACACTCGCATCATTGCATACATGTCAGAGCTTCAGAGGCGAAAAACGGCAGAAGTTCTAGGGAAAACACTGTAAGAATAATAGTAAAGTTCATTTTTTCTGAATTGATCATTTCTGTTTAGGATTTGCATGTCTGAGCTTCAGAGTTGCCAAACTGCAGACGTTCTGGTGGAAAACTCTGTTAGAATAATGTTTTTGTTTTCTCAATTGTCATTTGTTTTGTTAGGATTTACATCAAATGTAATGTCTTTGGATTTTCATATGCAAGAATGAAATGAACAATTCCATCTTACAATACAAATATCAGCAATGAAGCAGAGAAGTTGTATAACTAACACGAAAAATAAATCATAGTCACTATAAGGCATTAGCTAAGGCATTATAACCATTACAAAAACAAAACAAAAAAAAAAGAAAGAAAGAAAAGAAATCATTAGCTGAAACTAGGGCTGTACCGAATATTCGCTTCGTATTCGCTTCTGAGCCGAATAGTGGACCTATTGACTATTCGGTATTCGGCCGAATAGTTGCGGTCGGGCCGAATACGAATAGTAGTTACCTTACACCCGCTTCTGCATACATTGCCTTAATGCTGACAACATGGAACGACTGGTTTTTTTTAAAGCTAATGCAGCTTTTCTGCATTAACTAAGCTGTCAGTGACAATTTCCAAGTTTAGTTACTTGTTATGACTCTTTCATTCCTAGTTATAGTTACCACAGACTGACTGAAGGATGGAAAACATAAAATATTTTTAAATATTTACTATTCTGTACGAATACTACTAACTATACATGGAAAGAATATAAACTCCGGCCACATCCATGTCGATAATAGGAAAATCAAACGAACGGAAGTACTTGGGTGCAAACTTCAACTGCTCCAACATGCTGAGAGAAGAAATACAATCTAGAAATATACTATGCCCTTCAACATCTGCTAAAGTCAAAGTGTCTGTCTCGCAACACCAAGATCAAAATATATAAAATGTTGATAAGACCAGTCGTTTTATATGGCTCTGAAACTTGTGGAAATAAAAGAGATGAGGCCTTATTACAGGTTTACGAAAACAGTCTTACGACAAATCTCTGGACCCATCAAAGATGCTAACAGCGGGGAATGGAGAGTGACAAGCAACAACGTAACACATATTCTGTTTAAATCACCATTTATCACTGGCATCTTGAGAGCTAACAGACTAAAATGGTTGGGGCATACTGAAAGAATGTCAGATGACAGAGAAGTAACAACTGTACACACCTGAGAGAGGAATGGGCGTAGAACACGAGGCAGACAAAACAGAAGTTAGAGAGATAATGTCCAGCCATACCTGCAAACAACTGGTGTCACAAATTGTGCAGAGAAGGCCAGCCAGAGAGATGAATGGAGACGAGTGATATGTGCAGCAGTAAACCTCAAGAGCTCAGAATGCTAAAGAAGAAGATGACTATTCTGTGCTACTTTATGTGAAGTAAAAGTTCAGCATACATTTGACATTATGAATGTTTTTTTTTTTAAAGATATATTTTATACACTATTTGTATTCGTATTCGGCCAAATAGTTGGTCCCGCTATTCGTATTCGGCCGAATAGTAAAAATCACTATTCGGTACAGCCCTAGCTGAAACACTTTAGAAAAAAAAAAGCTAACAGTACATTTGTTTGTTCCATTCTATCCTTTACAATCCTCCGATATCATGGTTGGAATGAAGTCTAGCACCTTTAGCCTCGCTTATCAGCATTCATTTCAGGGTTTCTCTCCGAGGGAGAGGAACCCCTACACCCCACCTTCCCCTCAAAACACCCTGGAATTCACATGTGGAGAGAACTAAATGTGACATGAGATCAGAAGTAAAGACATCACTAAGTCATACAGGCAAGGTGTCAGCAGTGTTTACCTGTGAGAGATAGTAAAGTTATTTAACAAAAATTGCCACAAATAAACTTAGACCGTCACTGATGCATAGTGTATTTTGTTCAGATAACCTTAATATCTGTTTTCTTCTCCTTCTTCTTCTTTGTTCACTGGCTGTAAGCTCTGGCTGAAAGTCCTGGTTGTTTGTCAGTTTGGACTGTAGCTTTGTGCCAGGGCCTGAGTTTTGCATGTACATCCGTTTTACTGGCTTAAGTGTGTGCAGTTGAGTTTTCCTTGCCACTTGGGCAGATGCACTTTGACTTTAAAGGAAGTCCCCAGTTAGTCGACTCCTACAACATGCTTGCTGGGAAGGCATTGAGTGTATTCTTGTTGTCCCCACAATGGGGCCCTGGAACCCACACGGGGTAATAACTGTTATATTTTTGATGTTTACAATCCTGTCAACCAGAGTAATGGTAATATAGCGACAAGACACTCAACTGCCGGCCTGAAGGTATAGTGTTCAGATCTGCATTGAGGATGATTTTTCACTCCAAAATGACCTTGGTTTCCACATCAGTCCGCTCAAAATGGGTGCCAGGTAATGTTATGGAAAGTAAAGGTACCACAATCACCCATCGAGTATTAAGAGGTCTATAAAACATGAGTCTATATGCCCAGTGTCTTTACTTTGTGTTTTTAAATCCTGCTAACTGAATGGTGTTATTTTGTCATCAACAGGTCTCATGAAGGCAACCAGCTGCCATGTAAGGCCCAAGTCAGTGTTTCAGGTAAGGTTGTTATTTCATATAACAAGTTTTTTTTTTTTAGCTTTGAGGTTGAGGAAACGTAATTTCACAAATGTTGATGTAAAATTTGACGGTATTTAGTTTCAGAATTTTTCAGTGCCTGTCTTAATTATTTGAAATAATCCTTCAGAAACCATAATTGGACTGTCATTACTCGCCTGTATTTACTACTTTTGTCGTGCAGGTTAGACCTAGATTTTTACCCCCGAAATTGACCCCCCCACCCCACCCAACCAGTGATGATGGTTATTATATTAGCTGTTACTCTGTCTCCCCCCCCCCCCCTTTTTTTTAAGGGTGAGGGAATAGCTCCACTGCCTCCCTAACGTCATATCAACATCATGTAGCAGGTCCTTTGCAGAATGTCTCTCATCACAGTCTGTCTGAAAGAAACTCGCTCTCTCGCCAGCTCTCCTATTCATATTCAAGGAGTCAATTATATCATGTGCTCATCTTCATGTTGTTGATCGGCCTCTTCCACTCCTTCTGCTACCATGCCTTCTGCTATTTTTTCCCAATCGGCCATGGCTCTTGATATGACCAAAATAGTTCAGCTTCCGAGACAGGATGCCTCCCTAACAAGCATATCATAAAACAATTAATTAGGGATTGTCCCTTTGAAGCCGGAGCTCATCTACCTGAGAGGCAAAGAACTAATAGTCTGCATACTAGTAAGCCACATCTGTTAAATGGTTGTACACACAAAATTCAAGTACTAATAGGATTAAAGTCCAAAAGTGGGTAAATAAATGGAACTTTCTGCTGGAGTTAACAGCTGGTGAACACGAAGAAGAAGAAGAAGATATTAGCTGTGAGCAGTCTTTGGCAGTGGCTAGACTTTAGGTTTATGTGGGATAAAACCCAGTGCCATGAAGACCCTCTAGGCATTAACCTTTAAACTATGGGTCTGGCATCTAATTGGCCAATAGTGTGAGAATGATTGTTAATTTTTTAACCTATGTAGTTTTTTTTTAGAGGCAACTAAAACATTTGTGGTACTCTTCAGTTGTGGCAGATAAGTCTAGAGTGTACTGTTATAAAAGTGTGTAGAAAGAGTGGTTTGTGTTGCATGTCAGCTGATTTTGGCCACTGTAGCAGTAGATGTTTAGCTGATTTCTCCAGCAGATCGTGACTGTAATTATCACGGTCTGAAAAGAATTGTGCAGCCAGAGGGGATCTGGCTGACACTCAGTAGTCAGAGGAAAGGCAAGGTGGACATACAGACTGCTACTTGTACCATAAGAATTGGAACTGGCTAGCTGCTGAAGATGGGGATTGCTCAATTATGGGAATGTTCTAAATGCTGTGATGTTGGTTCATAACGCAGCTCAGCTAAAATTCTTCCCGCTAGAAGAGAAACCAGGATAAGAATAAATTTTCATAATTCTTTTTACCTGAAGCACTACATAACACATTATGTTTATCTTTTTAAATCATCACTTACAGATATACGAATTCCCCTGATGTGGAAAGATGCAGATCACTTCAAGAACAAAGGAGGTACATATGTTGACAATTCTGACATAATCAGTCACGATGAAATAAATTAATGATTAGTTATCTTTTAATGATATTCCTGTCTTTTGCTGCAAGTTCACATCATCATCATGTAGCAGGACCTTTGAAGAACATTGCTGTCATCATGGTCTGCCTGAAAGAAACTTGGTCTCTAGTCAGCTATCATGCCTTGTGCTTTTTCATATCTAAGGAGTCACTTATATCCTGTGTTCATCTTCGTGTTGGTCGGCTCCTGCATCTCCTTCTTGGTATCATGCCGTCTGGTATTATTTTTTCCAATCCACTGTGGCGCTTGATATGGGAAAATATTACACTCTCTGAGACAAGATGCTGTGTTTTAGTCAGTCTTCCTTGATGTTAAAATATTTTAGAATGTCAGTATTTCTTTTCTTATTTATCCTTGGTGTTCTGACAATTTTTATATAACATTTCAGCTCAACAGCCCATAGATTGTTTCCTTTTAGGGCTGGGAGATAGTCCATGACTCACATCAGTATGTTGCAAGTTCACATACACAAGCAACTAATAATAGTACTGTCATATATAATCCAGATCATCATCATAATCTGATAACACTGCGTGCTGTTGGGTCCCCTGTTGCCTGATCAGGTCCCTCCACCACTGTCGGTCAGATGCAATGGAATTATATGTTTGCATGCTATGTGCCTGTCCAGTCGGCCAGATTCTGTAGCCAGGTCTTTCTTGGTCTGCCTCTTCTCTTTTCCTCTACTGAGCCTTGTAGTATTGTTTTGGAGATGTAGGTAGATCTTAAATCTACATAATCAAGTTGTTATCTCAAATTAGGATGTTTGTTTGTTGGCATACATTTTACTATGCAAACTGCTCTTTCATGATTGCGTAATATGTCATTTTATTTTTGTATTTGCGTTCTTTCCTGTCATTTTATTTTAGTATTTACATTCTTTCTTGTCATTTTATTTTAGTCTTGTGTTTACATTCACGTCAATCTCTCTGTCTTTTTAGTCTTTTAGTTATTCATTTCCCTGTCATGTTAGTCTTATGTTTACATTATTTACCCCCTCATTTTAGTATTGTTCACATCAAATCCCCTCTCATTTTAGTCTTGTTTACATCAAATGCTCTCTCATTTTAGTCTAGTCTTTACATTCATGTCCCTATAAAATGCTTGATGTTTGGTGGTTTCCTCGTTTCAGATTACCGCCGATATGCTGTGTTCTGTATGCTCAAAGTTGGAACAGAGATCTATGACACATCAATGATCAGTGATGTGGACAGGAGCATGACAGACATCACCTTTGAAGATGTTATTCTATTGTAATATATTATTTTATAATAAGCATTTTCGTTAGCTGTTTGTTAACTTTACGGTTCATTGTAACATTGTGCACATGAACTACTTGCTTTACCTCTAAACCTTATGCCCAGTTGTAATAAGGAGCAGTCATGGGTGGGAAGGAGTCTTGAAAACCGAGGTTAATGTATGGAGCTGACTTTTAACCCTTTCACCCTCTAAGAATCTTTATAAATGACCTTTTCAAATTTTGTTTAATATTTTGTCTTCATAATTCTCTGAAACTATACTCACGAAACTATAAGAAGAAGCAGAAGAAATTTGGAGTCAGGCAGTTTAAAAAAATATCCAGCGTGTGTGACCTCTAGATCACCAAGAAGACAAACAGGCAGTAAGTTCTGTGATTCTGATTATGCCACATCACTTAAAAAAATTAGAAAAAAATTATCTCTAGTCACTAGATCATCGCCCACTGAGTGCCGATTGGTCTATAAAGTATAGGTCTAGCACTGAATGCCTAATATACCTGAAAAGTCTAGACACTAAATGTCTAAATCAGGAAAAGATTTATTTTTATGTAGAGGGAAAAAATCACTAGAGACAGAATTAAGAATCAACTATATCCTTTCCTTTAGCCATCTAAAAGTGGTTTTGGTTACTTTGCTACAGGTAGCAGTGTGACAGTTATGAAATTTATGACGTACAGTGATGTCCCAATTTGTAAAAGTCGATTTTTACACCCAAAATAATATCTTAATTTATTTTTTAAAATAAATAAATCATGCATTTCATGTCTATACACTATGTGCCAAAGCACCAGAGCTGTTATACAAGCTTAGTGACGACGGCCCAAAGACATTATGCCATTAAAAAAATCTGATGAGCCTACATCTCAGAATTTACAGGGTGACAGGGTTGAGATATACTGAAAATTCATCACTATAACTTTTATACAAGTTACATAGATATATGAGATTCTTCTGTTGAATTCTAGTGAGCCATTCTTTAGTTGAATTTTGGCTTTCCGATCTTTTGGAAGTCACAGTTAGCCTCCATCATTTGTATTTGTCCAGTAACCTACTGTCTCATGTAATGTCAGCCTATAGAAAACTTAGGGTTTGGCTTTACAGATTCCTGTATAAATTGACTGACTTCATTGTCTTCTATAATTCAGCATACTTTTATGTGCTACTCATGTTATACCCTTAAAAGAATTTGTTAAATATATCGGGTGTTTCACTTGGGGTGGAAGTCAGTATTTCGTTCATAATTCTGATACTGATAAAGATAAGGCAACAAAATTTGCAAAGTCGGGTGACATTATAACAGATGCTGGAAATAGCCACCATTGGTGTCTAGGCAGCATTGGGAGCGCCGTTCCATGTTGTGGAAAGTCCATCTCAGTATGTCAGGTGTCACTGGTTGGATGGCCCGCACTGATAAACGTGCTCGACTCAAGATCACACATTGTTTTGCTGCCTGGACGCCAATGGTGATCATCTCCAGTACGAGCTATGAATGAAATACTGGGTTTGCCCCAAGTGAAACACTGAATACTTTTATCATAGTTAAATTAATCCACACAGTTAGTCACACACTAATCATGATTGAGCTTTTTTTTTTTTCAAGACCAGGTCTGTTTTGGTAATTCAGCAATTCCTTCCTCCCCCAAAAATGACTACCTTGATTTCATTCTCATTGATTTCATGTACTATCAAAATAATATTCAGCAACAGTCTGTATTTTAAAAGATTTTCTTACACAATTCTGTTTGCTTTCACACATTCTGCCTGTTTGTCTGCCATCTTCGATTCTTCTATTTCATTCTTTAAAAAAAAAAACACACACTCCAGTACATGTCATTCTCCTGCATACTCTTACACACACACCCTTCTCTTCCTCTGTCTTGCACAAATTGTCACTCTGTCACACACTTTCTTCACACGCAGGCACCCTTTTCTTTCTCACGGTGCAACACACATTTTCTTCTTTTGCACACACTGCTCTCTCTCATTCTCACCTTTTTACTCCCACCTACTCTCCTCACACAGTTGCCTTTTCTTTTTCTCACTCTTGTATGCACAATCTCTCTCTCTCTCTCCTCCCCTCTCCCTCCCCCTTTCCCCCACCCCCACACCTCTCTTTTGAAATTCTGTTGTAATATTGTCTTATTAAATGTCTGCAGTGATGATGTCCCTCATGACTTTGAGATGAAATTGGAGGTCTATTGTCACAAGCTACACGAAGAGTTCTCTGTTGCCAATACCCCTAAAAAGCTACGTAAAAAGATCAATGATATCTCAGGCTCCGTTGGCCGCAGTGTTGGGAAACGTCTCTCTGGTTTGGTAAGGATAATTTATTGTTAATTTTTATCCTTAATTTTGGCAAAAATGCATACTGTTGCACTTTTCAGCTGATTATAGTGCCTCAGCATTAACAAAATCCTTCTTCTTCTTCAAAATTCTGAGCCATTGAGGCTCATTGTTGAGTTTCTTTTATCACGTTTTTTTTATTAGCCAAAAGTCACACCTTCTTTTTTATTTTACTGGCTCGCCTGGAAAAAAAATACAAGCGTGGCTCGCATTGTTGTATTATGGTTTACAGTAAGGCTGCAATTGCAGTATCTGACCTTTGGTCCCAACACATCAAATTTAAGCAAATGTCTAATTATTATTTTATTACATGCACACAAAAAAGGGGGTGGGGGAAGGAAGGGGTCTCAGTTGTTTGTCTTTCCCCCCACCAAAATACAGGCTGAGAACTCACAAGGAGAATTCCTACCTTTCTTCTGTATGCCATCAGTAAATATCTTTGTCCATTTCCCTTTAGCCTGATCTCACATTTGTAGTTTTTATTTTCTGAAAAGAGCAGTTTACCAAATATGTCTTGTAGTTCTCACATTTTCAGCCAAGTACCACCATTCATTTCTCAGTGACCACTGCCCAGAGACATCAAGCTATAAAAGAACCGACCAGCCTAGATCTTGGCATTTATGTGACGACAAGCTTAAAGGGTATAAGAAGTCTCTAGATTTGTCACTGCAGCTGGCAGTTATAGTCTTCTTCTTTGCGTTCACCAGCTGTACACTCTGGTGGAAAGTTCTAGTTGTTTGTCCACTTCTGGCCTGCAGTCCTGCTCCAGAACCTGAATGTTGCGTGTGCATCAGTTTTACAGATATGATTCCCTTGAATGCAGACTGTTGGTTCCTTGTCTGTCAGGCAGACGCACTCCGACTTCAAAGGAAGTTACCCAATTAGTCAACTCTTACGACATGCCTTTGGGTAGGCAGTGGGTCTATTCTTGTTTTCCCTACAATGGGGGCCCTGGAACCCACACGGGAGCAGTTATAATGAAATCAAGGATATCTGAGAGAGCAAAAGATGCAAGTCTGAATAGACTTGATTGCCTATACTAGATCATATAAACATATGAATAGCATGTTATGTTGTTAAAAAGCATATGTTTGTTTTCAGTAAGCTTATCTCAAGTTTATACTTTCACTAGATGAGTGAATATATTCTTTAGAAACTACCCTTCCCAAAATCCACCAGCTCTGCCCTATCTCAGTTTCCATCTTTCAGCCATGCTCACACACACACATATCTCTTTTTCTTCTCTTTTCTACTAAAGCTGGTTTTTTTTTTTGGGACACTCATGTATTTAGAAACAGATGTTTCAAACTGTGTCACATACTTTTATTTTTGCCAGAATGATTCAGAAGTCATTGGAAACATGGTGTTGTAAGTATTCTCAACAGTTGAATATATTGTTTTCTTGAATTAATAGTTTCATTTTGTCAGTTAAATTTGCATCTTTTGCATCTAATCATTAAATTCCAGAAATGTCTGTCTCGCTTGACTCTCTCTAATACCATGTAAATCTTCATTGATAAATCTATATCTGCTGTTTTTATAAATGTATTTGGTCTACTCCACATCCACTTTTCCACAGTTTTGTTCCCACTAGTATTGTTTTGTGTTTCTTTTTGTCAGTGTCCAAACCAAATTAAATCTTCATGTTTTTAGAACTTTAAAAAGTCTTCATCCTGTTATATTAAAAAAAAAAAACATTTTGATTTTCCAATCCAACTGGTTGTCATTTAAAAGTGTACAATGAAGAAGATAACAATTCTTTAAATTTCTTTAGAGTTATATCAATTATTGTTAATAAGAAGCAATTATTTCATATATAGAAGAATGTTGACAACCGATCTATAAAGTTACTAGGTTATTTAAAATGTATATAAAAGCTATCTACACATGTGTGTGTGCATGCATGTGTGCTTGTGTATGCGCATGTGTATGTAGAATTTAAGAGACTTAAGTCCTCTCATCTTGACCTTCCACTGTCTTCTTTTCTCAGCAATTCTTCCACAGATTAACACAAATCTGAGAACCAGTGTTCTTTCATGCGTATGTGATATATCTTTATTGTCCTCTTTTTCTCCTTTGTTGGATCTTGTCCTCCAATATTTATAACAGTATACCTCCCTGTCTTATATTATGACCAGGCCAAGACAACCATCTTATTTGTATGTTTCAGTTCTTCTGCTTTTTCTTCTTCTTTTGTCCTACTGTTTATGACATAATGTGTTGCAGAGAGAAGTTAAATGTAGAGTCCTCTCTTTTGCTGGTTGCGTAGCTTGTGTAAATGTCATATTGTGTTTCTGTAGTGTCTTTTTTACTCCCTCCACCCATGTTATGTAGTACCATCTAGCTACTGGCTGATTTTGTTTCATTCTGACCAAATGGCCAAACTCTTTGATTCTTTGATATTCTGTATAATTTACCAATACTGTACCTACTGTCGTTCTTAGTTCATGATTTTTCCTGCTACTTTTCTTATAAATCTTCTCTCACATGTTGTGATTTTGCGTTCATGTTTTTCTAGCACTGCTTTTTAATAGTTGTCCATTTTCTTTGATGCCTGTGTGCACACACAAACTCAGTTGGAAAAGCTTGTAATACCGTAAGCATTGGGAACTGCAATTGCGAAGTGGCTAGACAATGCCTGCCAGATTGAAGATCTTGAGTTTGAATGTGCATTCTGTCGGATTTAAAAGAATCAAACAAAACTCGGCTTCTGGCTTAAAATGGGTAACAGGTAAGTCCTGGGGAATCAAGGTGGCTGGCATGACTTTGACTACATCACCCATCGAGTGTGCCCAATGGTTTATAAAAATGAAAGTAGCATCATATACCTTGTGTGCCACTGGCAGGAGAAGGGTCCTTTATTGACTTTTATTTACTTGATGCACTCTTATTCAGGGGACCAAAGTTTGAGCTGGTTGCCAGAGGGTCATTAAATCTTGCAGATGTTGACAAGTCTGTGAGAACATTTGATCTTCAGCTAGAGACAACTGCAGGTTGGTAGGCTTATGTTTATGTTGTAATTGTGGATTGACTGTACAATAAGTGAGTTCTTATCACACAGTCAGTATGGTTCTAGGATTGACCAGACCCCATAAAATGGAAGAGATTTCTATGCAAAAGTAAATGTAATAATGAGTCAGAACAGTTCCATTACATTATTTGTGTCATGTAGCCACTGTAAAAAAAAAAAAAACATTAAATCTTCTGTGCGGACCCCCCCCCCCCCCCCCCCCCCCCCCCCCCCCCCCCCCCCCCCCCCCCCATTATTTATTTTGGAAGCTCTAACTATTTTCTGCTTTGTGCTGCTAGGCGTTGCAGGTAAATACATGATCATCAGTTTCTGAGCTAGGGCATGAACATTTGCCCAGTGTGCTGTACTATTGTGGAGTCACAAGATATCATTGACTCCTTCTGACCAAAAACACTGAAACACGACCTCTAAAAATTCTGAATGGGTAGTTCATATAGAAAGAATGACAGATAACAGAGACAAAACAATGTACACAAAAGAGTTGAAGGAGATTAGAGCATGAGGCAGACTAAGAAGATATTGGAGAGATAGTATACAGGCAGCCCTACAAACTCTTGGGAGTCACCAGTTGGAAAGGTAAGTCCAGTCGCAGAGATGCAAGGAGGCAGATGATATCTGTAGCAATGAAGCTCAAGAACTCAGAATTCTGGAGAAGAAGAAATAGGGTACATTACTTTTGATTTCATGCTTGAAAGTATCATTTTGATATAGTAGTGATATAGCTGTATCCATGGTTTCTAAGAGCTTACTAGGTGATGCAGCTGTCTTTGTTCCATAAATCAAGACAGTTTGTGTATTTATGCCAAATATCATAGACCTTATGGTGTTACCTTAATAATCACCTAGGATAGAAATGTCATCCAATGAAGAGAATTGTCATTTTATTCACAGATGGGCAAGTACACGAACTGCCTCTGTTTGGCCATTATTGCTGCCGCTTGGCTGCTTTGCCAAACTGTCTCGTCCGAGCGACAGTAACAGGTTACCTTAACTTACAGGTATGTGTGTTTATTTTAGAATGATTATGAATTGATGTTGTTACCTTTTACCTAAAACGTGAAGTTGACATTGACTTGTACCAGAGATTTAGATGAATATTATCTATAAGTGCACTGAATTAAGATAAAAAGAATTTATAAAAATGACGATTTGTACATCTATTACAAGTTTCAGTTTTAGTACCTTAGTCAACATTTCAATATTCTTTTTATATCTATATTTGCCCACATCAGAATGAGACAATCTACATTCTTTGGTCATGTGATGAGAAGGAGCAAACTGGAGTATGTTGTAACAGTAGGAAAGTTGGAGGGGAGGAGAGGTAGAGGGAGAATAATGAGTAATTGCTGAGTTATAAAATGCAAGTTACAAGATCACTCATCAATGCATAAGGGAAAACATGACCATTCTGAGAAATCAATGTTAAGGGGCAGAAATAACAAAATATAGAAATTAGCTATATTTGAGAGCAGTGCTTGGCAGGAGCCACAGAGGAAGACATGTAACTGGAAAGTCTAAACACCTGAGCAACACATTTTTAAGCAAAGCCCATTTAGAAGAGCAATGCTCCAGGTCAGGCACATAAAAAAAGAATATGAAACGATTATTGACTAAAAGATTACAGATGGTGAAAAACTAGAGACTTTTGGGGGGAAATGTAATAGATAGATAGGAGTGTGCAGGCTTTTTTCTTACATTGAGAATAATTGTGAAGATTTACTATTCTTATGGTACTTTGTTGCAGGAGGATGATGATCTCTCCAAATGGAAGCGCTACTGGTGTTGTCTAAAGAACCTCCAGTTAGCTTGCTGGTCCAGTCCGGATGATGTTGAGGTGACACAGCCTCTGCTCTCAGTACCAATCTCAAAGGTAGCACAGAAATACAAAAAGTTGTTTGTTCTGTTTCTAAGATGCTTGTATCTGGGATGTAGATTACTTTATTTCAGTATTGTAGACAATGTAGTTTGTCTTCAAAGAATGCTCAGATCTGTAAAACAGATAAGTTTATTTCCAACAGAATTGCAGAGATGTGATGTACATTGTTGTCTTTCTGAGAGTTGTAGAGAAATTGTATATATTATTTCCAAGAATTTAGATCTGTGATGTAGAATACTCCCTTTTAAGAGTTCTAAGATCTGAGGCAGTATCTAATAAACTACAAACATTCGTTAACTGGTGCCTATGAGGAATAGGGAATTTAAATGGTATAACAGAATCGCTAATGTAGAGCTTTGGATGAGAACTAAACAAGTTCTAGTGGACCAAGAGGTGAAGCAAAGAGGCTGGCTTTGGATAGAACAAACATTGAGAAAAATTGAGAACAGTATAATTAGAATGTCTTTGCACTGGATCCCACAGGGACACACAAGTTAAGACCAAAAACGCATTGGGAAGGAAGCTAGAGAGTGTAGTTCAAAAGATGGGAATAGCTGCACGCGATAGTGAGGGATAGATAAAACAACTCACCATAACTTGTTTGAGGGCCTATGCCCCATTGTGAGGAGGGGGGGCTAGAAAGGCAGAAGAGGAAGGAGATCTGGGGTGTAGATAAATCTGTTTTAAGAAACTGCCGCATAGTTTGTTTTCTGAGAGTGCTAAGGTTTGCGTAATCTGTTTATTTCCAGCAGAATACTCGATCAGATCTGTGATGTTGCGTAGATCAGTTATGCATTTTAATTTTCAGCAGCGCTCCGACCATATTGCAGGTAATTTAATTACATACGGAGCACTTAGATCTGTAATGCAGATTATTTTATTCCCAGCAGCTATATGTGAAGCTGCCTAATTGTTTTCCAAGAGTACTCATATCTGTGAAGCTGCCTAATTGTTTTCCAAGAGTACTCATATCTGTAAAGCTGCCTAATTGTTTCCCAAGAGTACTCATATCTGTGAAGCTGCATAATTGTTTCCCAAGAGTACTCATATCTGTGAAGCTGCCTAATTGTTTCCCAAGAGTACTTATATCTGTGAAGCTGCTCAATTGTTTCCCAAGAGTACTCATATCTGTGAAGCTGCCTAATTGTTTCCCAACAGAGTACTCATATCTGTGAAGCTGCCTAATTGTTTCCCAAGAGTACTTATATCTGTGAAGCTGCCTAATTGTTTCCAAAGAGTACTTAAATCTGTGAAGCTGCTCAGTTGTTTCCCAAGAGTACTCAGATCTGTGAAGCTGCCTAATTGTTTCCCAAGAGTACTTAAATCTGTGAAGCTGCTCAATTGTTTCCCAAGAGTACTCATATCTGTGAAGCTGCATAATTGTTTCCCAAGAGTACTCATATCTGTGAAGCTGCCTAATTGTTTCCCAAGAGTACTTATATCTGTGAAGCTGCTCAATTGTTTCCCAAGAGTACTCATATCTGTGAAGCTGCCTAATTGTTTCCCAACAGAGTACTCATATCTGTGAAGCTGCCTAATTGTTTCCCAAGAGTACTTATATCTGTGAAGCTGCCTAATTGTTTCCCAAGAGTACTTAAATCTGTGAAGCTGCTCAGTTGTTTCCCAAGAGTACTCAGATCTGTGAAGCTGCCTAATTGTTTCCCAAGAGTACTTAAATCTGTGAAGCTGCTCAATTGTTTCCCAAGAGTACTCATATCTGTGAAGCTGCCTAATTGTTTCCCAAGAGTACTCATATCTGTGAAGCTGCCTAATTGTTTCCCAAGAGTACTCAGATCTGTGAAGCTGCCTAATTGTTTCCCAAGAGTACTCAGATCTGTGAAGCTTCTCAGTTGTTTCCCAAGAGTACTTAAATCTGTGAAGCTGCTTGTTCCCCAAGAGGACTCAGATCTGCGAAGCTGCTTGTTTCCCAAGAGTACTCAGACCTGTGAAGCTGATTATTTTATTCCCAACAGAGTACTCAGATCTGCGATGCAGATCCCAACACAGCCAAGAAACCACATTCAATCCTCATCAAAACGGTGAACATCAATGGAATCTTTGACCATACGCTGGCTGCAGATACTAAAGAGGAGTTTGATAAATGGTGGGATGGCTTTCAACAGCATTTACTGGACCAAGGTAGGAAGTGATTTATCTGATGCTTTGCTTGTTTACAGAACTGGCTTATGATATTGTGCACATAAACAGAAAGAGTGAGGACAGTTCTGACTGACTTATATCCAAAACAAGAAGGTTGTGCAAATTGAAATAATTTTCTAATGAGTCTTTAATATGTAAATGTTTTCTGCTTAACAACAATAATTTGTTTGTTTCGGAACTATAATATTGATCAAGTGCAAGACATTAATCACCTCATTAAATGTAACTGTAATTAAGTATGAACTAATTAATTATCAGATCAGCAAGAGCAGCTAATGTTCATCAGATGGTTAGCCTGCACCAGAAAACACGGCAATTCTTCTGCTTCTGTGTCTGCCCTTTAAAAGGGTGGTTGGCATATTGTGTTGTGGTTTACAGCTAGGCTGTGATATCTGCGCCTTTTGGTTCAGTACATCTGTTTTCAGCAAATTATTATTGTCATTTACAACGTTCTTGTTGGTGGGCAGTGCGTCTATACCCCTCACTCCCCTCTCCCCAAAAATGGGGTAGATGAACGCCCGTGAGGAAGTACAACTATGAAAAGTGAAAATACAATTAAAAATAGTATTATTTTGTATATACAAATTGGTTTTTACCTTGCAAAAGAATTGACCCACTGGTCCCCCCCCCCACACACACACACACACACACACACACACACACACACACACACACACAGCAAACACGTCGTAACAGCCTACTAATTGGGAGCTTTCCTCAAAGTTGTAGTGCAATGCCTGAGAGACAAGGAACCAGCAGTCATGCATACAAATAAGCTTGATCTATACAATGAATGTGCAGACAACACTCAGTTTCTGGAACAAAACTAAAGACCAGAGGTGACAGAACAACCAGAACTTTCCGCCAGAGTTTACAGCTGGTGAACGTGAAGAAGAAGTTTTAACTGTATTATTCTTATGAGAAAATCTATTAGATGAAGTAATATGTAGCATCAAGTTTGTATATATTTCTGAGTAGCCTATGCTGTATGAAGTTGGTCATCATGTCTGTCCATAACCTTCTGTTTTGTTTAATGCTAATCTTTTCTGATGAATATTTTCTTTCATGCATGATGCCAGACTGTACAACATCCTCCCTCTTTCTCCCTTGGTCTCTCTTTGCTTCTATTCTGTTCCAAACTGTCCTGATGTCATGAACACATTCCAAAGTTACTCTTGTCATGTGTGCAAAGTATGTGACTTGTCAACTTATGCTGCAGATAATCATGTTTTCTTTTACCAGTTTATTTCTTTCAAGCCATCTTCTTAATGTACCTTATTTGTGCATGATGTTCTGATAATTTTTCAATGAAACCAGATTTCTGCAGCTTTCACACAACTTCTCACAGATTTGTTGACTGTCCATGATTCCCCTTTATAAATCAGGATTAGTTCTGTGCAGATGTTATCATATGTTTTCTCACCTCCATTTGCAGCTTGAATTTGTGATGGGTCAAAGAGAAAAGTTATACCTTGCAGTAGGGCTCCTTAGACTTAGAGAAAAATCACAGTGTAACCTAGTAGGCCACTATGGAGGGTCAGTGTCAGACTGGCTACCTTACTGCATAGAAAACTGGCAAAATGTCCACAAAGGGCTTAGCATACGTTGTTTAAGAGCCTATGCTCCATTGAAAAGGGAAAGACAGAAAAAGAAAGGACGACTGAAAGTTTGAGGGTATGTGGGATGTTTTTGACATCCTACATGTTCTTAGCATTGAGGAGAACAGGCTCATAAACAGCATTCCCATCCCGAAAGCTGAAGTATTTTGGCCATGATAAACCTCGTGGTGGCCTGGAGAGAATGGTGATGCACTTTCTGGAAAACGAGGCGGATCCAGACCTCCTCAAAAGTAGACACAGAACATGGAAGATGCATTGGCTGTGAAAGCACATTGGGCTGGATAATTGGCTAAGAATGAGAGACTTTCAGGCGTGCCGTGACGAGAGCAATGTTCTGCAAAGA